GTGGGGGTCATGCTCAATCATCAAATATGCACTCATTTTTTGGTTCCAACACCGAAGATCGTTGCACGTGGTTTTTGTTGGCCCACCAAGCTTCATGCTGAATTTAAAAAAAACACAAGGGCATCCCCTCCCCCTAAATCCCGTCTGCTTCTAATTTTCATCTCTAAACAGGACCATTTTCGTCAAGAACCACGTCTCCCTTCCGACCCCGGAAACTCGAACCGGAGGCCACGCCCTCATTCCCCGCCCCTCCCCACCTCAACAACCCCCTCCGGGCTTCGCCAACCCCGTTTCCGTTGTCCCCGCCCAGCTATCGCAACTCAGCCCTCGGACCGATCGCAAATCGGCACTTTGAACCGGTCAGCCATCGCAAATTGGCACCCAAGCCGATCGCAAATCGGCATCCTGAACCGATCGGCTATCGCAAATCGGCACCCAAACCAGCCAAGAGCCAAGTCGCTGGGTCGAGTTTTAGCAATTACTGTGGTTTTGTCAGGTGGTGGTTTTCTTGGTTCCGGGGGTGTCGCTGTGTAGCTGGGGCGCGAGGGGAGAAGGGGGGGGGGGATATTTCGGTCAAAAATAGCCGGGAGTCACAGTTATGGCTAGATGGACGACGCTGTTCTGGGTCTAAAAAAGCCAGAAGTTATCAGTTTTGTCCTTACAGTTTTTCTGAAAAGCGAAAGCATTCGGGGGCAGCTTTCGTGATAGTGTAGTTTATGTCAGTAGTAACCAGTCGCCGGTAATGGTTTTCTTCTCCGACCGTTGCTTAAAGACAGGTTGATGACAGCTTTGACTCCCTGACAAATGTGAGAGCCAAGCGCGAGCATTGACGTGACCATACGTGCCGTATAAACGTGCACGATAGCTGGATTTGAAATCTTTAACTTGCACATACACAGAGAGTACGCTTGCGAATCTATCGTGTCTGTTTCGCGAAATCGTTTCCTGCCAAAGAAATTTTGCCTTTGAAGTGAGTCAGGAATGCGTAGTGCAGTGTCCATTCTGGTAAACGATGGCCAGATTACCTCAGAAGGCGGGAGCAACCCGCGAATCATTAAATCTAGGATTGGATTTCCAAAAAAAAAGCTTGGTTTTAGCACATGTTTTTCTTTTTTTGGGGGCGATTTTGAGCCGCACTTGGGCATGGAGCGTAGATATCGCACCGTCAATGGCGATTTGCCCCCTGACACAACTTTTTTTTATTAATATGATCCTCTTAGGGCCTCGGCGGCCCGTACTGCTCTTCTCCTGTTTCGCCTCTGATTGTATTGGCCTGTGTTTGCAGTCCTCTGAACGGGCTGTTTATAGTTCGTATTGATTGATATGATCCTCATAGGGCTTCAGCAGCCCGTACTGCCCTTCCTATTTTATTTTCAGAAATGTCATCGTCCGGAACAAGTCAGCAGCAACAACAGCAACAGCAGCAGCAGCAGCAGCAGCCGAAAACAGGCACGTCAATGGAAGGAGCCGAAAAGAAAGAGGAGAAAATGGAAGTGGAAGAGGTACTGCTCGTTGTTCTTTTTCTTTTTTTTGAATTCTGTCATCCGGGGCAGTGAATGAGGAGCTGTGTGTGTGTGTTGCAGGAACCGTTGGACGAGGAGATCCTTCGTATGTCGGCGGACGATCTGAAGAGCAGGACGCATTTGCTGGAGAATGAGATACGCATCATGCGATCCGAGGTACAGCGCATCAACCATTCGGTGCAAACGCTCAAAGATCGCATCAAGGAGAACAACGAACGAATCAAGGTTTTTATAGAAATTCGAGCTGAGAGGAGTTTTTTTTTTCACCTCCCATAGCGATGTATTATCATCTCACATGCGAAGGCCAGCAGGCGAGGGAGTAATAAATGCAGAGTTGTGTACGGAAAAAAGCAGTGAAAGATGTAAAAAATCGTAGTGGGTGGTCATTCAGCCGAGAAATTCTATGAAATTTCTTTTATTTTCCTTGCTTAACTTTGTTTTAACTCGAAAATTGAATCGCTTTCAAAATATCCCGCATTCCTACAGGTCTGAGTGGGTGCAAATTCGGTACAGTCCTTTCCCTCTCATTTCCTTTTTCCAGTGAATAAGGGTACGTATAAAATAAATCATATTAAAAAAAAAACAAAATATAAAAAATTATATTTAAAATTATATTAAAAAATAATCAGCTGAACAGGAATGCTTCGGTCCATCAATCCGCATTTACTCCTCTACAATTTGTACACATATTAGACTGGTCTCTGTCGCGGGAATAAAGTACCAGATTGGTAGGGATAACTTACTCTTCGACAGTAAATTGGTACCAGCATATACTTCGGCACATGACACTTCAGACAATCCTTCCATTCTACTATTTCACTTCAGGTTAACAAAACGCTTCCATATTTGGTATCGAATGTTGTGGAGCTGCTGCTTCTGGAGGAGTTGCAAGAAGAGGAGGGTGCCAATGTGGATTTGGATGCACACAAAACGAAATGTGCTGTAATCAAGACCTCTACACGGGCAACGTATTTTCTTCCAGTTGTGGGTTTGGTGGATCCATCGGAGCTGAAACCTGGCGATCTGGTCGGCGTCAACAAGGTTCATCCAGTTTTTTACTTCTTTCTTACTCCTACATTTTTGGTTTATCGATGAGTAGTAATGCAAGGTGGAATACCTGCATATTGTAATATGCTGGTGATGCATGACATTTTGCGAATCGTTACAAAATCTCTCTGTCAGACAATAACTTCTAGATTTTTTTTATCGCAGTTGACCTTAGTTTTTTTTTTATCGCCATATAGTCGCGGGATCTTTTCAACCGATTGTTAGCTAAGAGCCTAATTGGCGTTATTGGACTCATTGTATGTTAAATATCTTCAAGAATTCTCTTCATTTCATTCTCCTGAACGCATCAGACGTAGAGATATGTTGGCGCCCAGTTATTTTAGGATTTTGTTGAGATGGGTCGAATGTGAGGAACCAGCAGTGGATAATCCTGGGATCTTTTGTCGTTTAATTATCGCTCAGTCAACGTGTAGTTTTCCTCAGCAGTCCGGTCGAAATTTCAGGATTCGTACTTAGTTTTGGAGAAATTGCCAGCGGAATATGATTCGCGTGTGAAAGCAATGGAAGTAGATGAGCGACCAAATGAGCAGTACAGTGATATTGGTGGATGTGACAAGCAAATTCAGGAGCTCATAGAAGCAGTCGTTCTGCCGATGACTCACAAGGACCGATTTGTCAATCTTGGAATCCATCCTCCTAAAGGCGTACTGCTTTATGGGCCTCCAGGTTCGTTTTTACATGGGACACTTTTTACCGTTCCATGTGGCGGACAGAGCACTCTTTCGCAAAGGTAAGAATCGGATTTTTCACTTCAGTAGATTGCGGCGTGTTGTTCAGTAAACTACCAGTTTTTGCTCCATTGTAGGCAACTGGAGAGTATACTGTTTATATAAAATCCATAACTAAGGAAAGTGATAGAAATCCAGTACTGGAGCTTGTAGAAAATTAAAGAAGCTATTTTAGGCACGGGTAAGACGATGATGGCACGCGCTGTAGCTTCGCAGACCAAATCGACATTCCTGAAACTAGCCGGGCCTCAGCTTGTGCAAATGTTCATTGGTGATGGTGCAAAACTTGTTCGCGACGCGTTTGCTCTGGCCAAAGAGAAGTCTCCGGCTATTATTTTCATTGATGAATTGGATGCTATCGGTAAAATTTTATTCACTTAACTGTCTCTAGTTACTGCATATTTATAATATGGTTCTCCATATATAAAGCCGGCAATTTTCCAATTAGCTTTGGCCGGTGGTACATCGTCAGGTGATAAGCTTGCTAGTGGTTCTGAAGTTCTGTTTTATCAACAGAATTTTCATCTTTAGTTCTTATGCATTTTTGCATGTATGCAAATGCAAAAACACATAAAAATGACTCGTGGTGTGCGTGTGTGTGTGTATATGTGAACGTCTATCCGGGTATTTCAACTCGACAACCAAACAAGTTTCAGCGCTTAAATTTTTGAATGGCTTTCCCGTCCAGGTGTCACCCCAGGACCGCGGTACTAACCCTCACGCATGGCTGAACCCCGCGTACGAACACATGAAAGTTTTGGCGGGAAAATTTTCAACTCGGGAACGAGAATAGCTTAGGGACTTGAGGTTTTACGGGGATATCCCTTATCCACATACGACATTTCAAATTCAGCTTCCAGGAATTCGTGCATTCACGTACGAGGGCGCGTGAAAGCTTTGATGGGGAAATAGCTAATTAGGAAACCAGAAAAGCTGAGGAGCTGATATTTTAACGAAATATTCTCTGCTTAAGCACAACTTAAAGGTTCCAAACTCTGCCCCCAAGTGCATGTAGTTTTCACTTACGGGCACTTTAAAGTTTTGGCGGGGAAATCGCTCATTGAACAGTTAGTCCATTTTCAAATAACGACCGTTTAGCGGAAATTGTTCACTTTCCTTTATGCAAAGTTTACGATGACTTATGCAAGTGAGTGCACAGGGTAAATGTAAAGCAAGAACCATCATAAAGTTTACGATCTGTTTGCTTCAATTATAATACAAAAACTCATGATCTCACCAGCATTCCGCAGCGCCCCAGCCAGGAGTTTTTTATGCAAAAATTACGATAATTTGCATAAGAGAGCGCATAAACGTAAAGCAGCAGCCATTCATACAGTCTATGACTTGACTGCTTCAAGCTTAGCGTGCAAAAGCATAATTGCACCGGTAAACCCGTTACATTACACTCCAGAATTTCACTTGGAGGAGCTTCCAGTTGGGATGAACTGATTTGTTTTTTTAAAGGTACGAAACGCTTTGACTCGGAAAAGGCTGGAGATCGTGAAGTGCAGCGAACAATGCTTGAATTGCTGAATCAGTTGGATGGCTTTCAACCAAACGACGACATTAAGGTAGGCACGATCGAATTTTTTGTGTAAGAAGAATTTTTAGGAAAGGACAAATGTTAAAATCGTACAGCTGCAGCAAAGTTGGGAACTTGAAAAGAGAAATCGGAGAAAGAGCAAGGGAGCGTGAGGGGAGAGGGGGGGAGGAGGGTTCGGGATTCCCAGCTTTTTAAAATATGTGAATTTCGGGAGTCTTTTTTTTTTTGCTTATTTCTCTTCTCCAACTTCCTCTATCACTTACTTGATCGTTGCTAGGGTGTCGTGTCAAACTGTTTTAGGTGATCGCAGCGACTAATCGAGTTGATGTGCTTGATCCTGCACTGCTGCGTAGCGGCCGCTTGGATCGTAAAATCGAACTGCCGAACCCCACGGAGGATGCGCGAGCTCGAATATTGCAAATTCATTCGCGTAAAATGAATGTCCAGTAAGTTTAGTTTTTATGCGTTTTTGCCGTGTAGCGCTAGAGCGCTGCAATAGGCAGCAAAAACGCATATTGCAACGACCTTGTCAGTGTGTGTGTGTGTGTGTATGTTTGTGTGTGTGTGTGTGTGTTCGTCTGTCCGGGTGTTTTAACTCGCCAACCATGCAAGCTTTCAGGCTGAAATTTTGCTAGTATGTTCCCCAGCCAAGCACCACTCCA